AAGTAGTGCGAAACCATCGAAATTCAGGTGTTCGAAATCGGGCAGGGATAGCTACACAAATCTGAAATAATATAAATTTATTTCAAATTAAAAAAGTCATTAAAATGCTAAATTAATCAATCTTTGCGGAAATCTTACATTTTTGCGTAAGCGACAAAATATCCTAGATTTAGCGTAAGTTATTAATATAGGTCTCTAACAGGAAATTTTCATAGCAAATCGCTAATTTAGCTTCTTACTAGCACTATTAACGAGGTTTCGACGAGGCTTTTTGACTGAGTATGAAAATTATAAATTTTTTATACTCAGTCATAAAGCCTCGTCAAAACCTCGTTAATAGTGCTAGTAAGAAGCTAAATTGGTGCTTTGCTATGAAAATTTCCGGTTAGAGACCTATATTATTAATAATTTACGCTAAATCTAGGATATTATGTCGCTTACGCAAAAATGTAAGATTTCCGCAAAGATATTAACAAAAATCATCTAATTGAAAGAATCATTACCATCACCGTTAAATGCATAATTTTTTTTAGTAATAAATTGGGTAAAATTTTATATTTTTTTGCCAAGTGCAAGAAAATTAATTCACAGACAATTTAATTTCACAGAAAATTAATTCGCAAATAAGTTTATCTATACAGAAACTTAGATATTATAATGCGCAGTAGCTGCATAGGAACTATATAATTATCTTTAAATTAATAGTAGCTATATAATTACTATATAATTACTATGTCGTTAATGCACAGTAAGATACTATATATATTTTAGATGATTAATTCACAAACAATTGCATTTTAAAGATAATTCATTTTCTGACAGCTTATTCATATATATGGTTCGTTTCATTGACCGCTCATTCCACATACAAATTTTTTTTGTAGCTTGCACTAACCTTAACACAACTCTGGTCTAATTTAACAATAACTATTTAGAATGAGCTGTCGATGCAATAAATTGGTTATGAAATGAACTTGTTTGTGAATTGGTCATCTGCAAAATCTGTGAAATAAGAAGTTAATAAATGATTGTTTACATAGGTTTGCATGCAATTATATAGCTCCCTGGCTTTAAATTATTCATTTAAATTTATATCGTCTGTTCCGTCACGTACACAACTATAAAGTTTTTAAAGCTATTTATTTCTGAAGGCAAAAAGGCCTGCCGAATTGCTCATAAACTTAACATTAATATCTTTTTTGTAATCAAGCAATCATTTTTTCAAGGTTAGGAATTTATCCACATTTGAAAACTATGTCTATTATACAAAAAAATCGATAGATTTAAATCTCATCTGATATGCAAGGGTAAATTTCATGCATTAAAATAAAAACAAATCTACCCCAAAGTATGGCTAGAAAAAAAGATTAATGTAGTACGTACTTTCCAATAATTTCATATCTACTCAAACGTGTAACAATGCTCAAATCGGGGCTATTCATTTTTGGTAAGATAGTTTCATTTGACATGTATACAAATGCAATTTTCAATTTGCCATTTCCGACTACCTATATATTAAAATTATTACTGGTTATAGCACTTTATTTCAACTTTTTTTTTTTTTTTGACACTAAACGATCAAAATTGCTCGCTATGCCTCTTTTTAAGCGAAAATCGTCTCGAAAGTTAATCGACGAGAAAATATCACTCGTTGATTATACAGATATTAATTTTGGTGTAGAAAAAAAATCTCTGACTTGTAATTTTAGCGAACTTCCTCATTGGTTGCAAGACAACGTTGATATTCTTACTGGTATGCTAATACGATATATAAACAAATTTACTTTACAAATTGATCACTTTATAGGATGACTTTTGTAGGTTATCGGCGGCCAACTTATTCGTATATTAAATGCATACGGTCTTTATTTTATCTTCATAACGAAAGTGGTACATATATATTATTTTGTTATTAGTATTAATAATGATAAACGTGCTAATCAAGATTTGTTCCCTAAAAGTTAATATCTGGTCCCACCTGATTGGCACTCTTATCTTTGTAATAATCTCAATTCCAACATATTTTTCTTTATCGGCCTATCCATCAATAACATCTTGGGATTTCGTCGTTCAATACAGTTTTTTATTGGGTGCATTACTGTGTTTAACCTTCTCGACGTTATTTCATGCTTTTATGTGTCATTCTGAATCGGTATTTAATGTTTTATATACACAGTTGTATTCTAATTTGTTTGATATAATGCCTACGTATATATTGTATATATATTATATTTATAGGCTTGTGCGAACTGGAATAGATGCGATTATTGTGGAATAGTATTTTTAAGCATGTAAATATTTGTTTTTATTCTTTTATTTTTAATACAAATATTTCAACAACTGATTCTTTGGAAAATTTTAATAGTGGATCAAGTATTCCTATTTCATACTATGGTAATTAATTCTGTAAGGTTTTTTCTTTATTCTTTATTGTAGATAATTCATGCTTTATATATAATTGCTTCATTTATTTGAAGCGTTTTATTGCAATAGAACGATAAGCATTATCTATATTACACTGGTTTGTGTCCTTGGAATTGCGACGGTTCGTAAAGTGTGTGCATACCTTTTATGTTTAATTTCTATTTTATTAATTTATTTATATTATTTCAGATTTGTGTAGCTATCCCTGCCCGATTTCGAACACCTGAATTTCGATGGTTTCGCACTACTT